CTCTCTCTCTCTCTCTCTCTCTCTTCCTCCCTTCCTCTTCCTCACGCTTCTAACCATCTTTCACCCCATCGCGACGTCTGTATCTTTTATTTTTCGTTCGTTCCATGTGTGTTTAGCGAAGATGTCTTAACCTATCGAGGATCGTGTGGTAGTTTACCACAATGCTGTTTAGTGGAGATTTGTAAATTTTTGTACACACTTTTGTAGGAAATTGAAATATGCAAAGAAGTAAAGCGTTTATTAAGTGAGAACATCTATTTGTAATTCCATTCGCTCGAATTAGGATAATTCGTGTTGTTGGATACTAGACTCGTAGAAGATGCGAATTTGCGAAACGAAAATCCACAGACTAGTTGCAAGTGTTTCGAAATTTTGAAATTCAGCGACAAGAAACAAAGAAATATTGAAATTGATTCGTAGCACGTTTCTTTCCACGCTCTCTCTATCACTGTCTCTCGGATTTTAAAGTTCGGGTTTTTTCCTTTTTTTGGAGGATTTTTATACTTTTTCTTTTTTAAACAGCTTTCCCGAGGCAAAGCACGCGATCTCGCGTGTCCACGCGTCTGCGTCATTGCTGCAACCATTCGAACACACGCGCGCGCCAGATAGAGAAATCGATCGAGTCACCTGCCTTCGAATACGGGAGCCTTCGCACCCCTCGCGATTGCGTCCTCTTTATCGTGGATGAGTCGCGCTCCTATACTGATCCCTCCATCCCCTCCGGAACATTCCAGGAATTTTTATGAGGTAAACACTATCGCCATCTTTCACCGATTGCTAGGTGTATTTATTTAATTTCAGTTGCCTGTCGACCGTGATACAATGGAAAAATCATTCGAAATGATTTTATTTATTCACGATCAGTTGCTTTGTCTCTCATTTCTTGGAATATTCCAAGAACACCGATCGAAATGTCTGTTCTCCCTGCGATTCGTCTTTTCAAGCGTATTATTTTCTATGTCGAAGAAGAGTAACTTTTTCCTGTGTGATAAGGATAAAAATTTAATCCTTTTTCTATCACAAGGAAATAATTCATCCCCCCCTTTTTTTAAATAAATTTTTAATCATAATTTTTCTCTATGAAAAAATAAAAATTCCACTTCCAATAATTCTTCCAAGGAATTGAAATTCTACACCCTTTTAAAAATAATTCATCCCCTTTTCTACTAAGTTTTTCCTTTTAATCTTAACAATTCTTATAATCGAGGAACGAAAATTCTTTACTTTCATCCCTCTGTGCCGAGATTAATATTTCTAGAGTAATACGCGTGAGACAAGTTTCCACGTAAACGACGACGTCACGATGGATCGCAACGATCGAGTCGAAGTGGAGTAATTGCTATGCTGGGTGAGATCGATCGATCACAACGGCTGTTCGAGAAAGGCATCTATATATTTAAAGACCGGCTTCCGGTGTCGTCGTAGATTGTATTTCGATTAACGAGCACACATCCGCGCGCAAAGTGCACGTATTCTGGAGAATGACTTCACCGGTCGCAGGTGTGCATTGTATTTAGATGATATCGATTGCGGGTCACACGTCATAGGTCGGCCTAGAATCGACCCCTCGTGACACAGTTACACCCTGCCTCTGACACGAAAGTCACCACGAAATCTGTGTATTACTTTCCTCGACAGCTGAGTTGTAAATGACTAATAAACGACTTTTTTTTTCTCAGAGTTATCAATTTTTTCCTTTTTTCTTTCTTCCACCCTTGTTTTTTTCTCTTTCTCTCTCTTTGCTCAGATTCGAAAGAAACCAATTCCATTAGTCTTTGTATAAAGTTAAAAGTTTTACGAGGTCCTGTAATATTTACAGTTCACTTATTGTGCATTGACTGATGCGATTATCGAAAGTGGTTTAAGAGTGAAAAGTTGAAAGATACTCATTGTAAATGTATATCTGCTGAAAACCAGTGTACGTGAATGAATAATCAGTGTTGAAGATTTATTTGTTTCAAACTTGATCAATACAATTGTGATAGTTTTATTACAGTGTTAATGAAATGTCAGAATCTATAATATATTTCTAACGTAATTATTTACAAATGTTCGAATATGTTCGTGAGCATCTGTGCTACAAATTTTATTTCATCTTTTTTTTCCAGTATAATCGTAAAAGATAATTCGAAAGATTAACTTAATATTTTTTGTTCATCCGAATGAAATTACAACGAGAAATTATTTATTTGGAATTTGTTACGTTCCAAAAGATATAAATTCTTTGAAAATAGTCGAAAGATGAATGTTAAATGTGTTATTGTTAAAACAAAGAATATTTTAGAATCATGAATATTTCGAAAATATTGAAGAGTACTACAAAACCAAATAAAAAAAATTTTAAAAGTGTTCTTTTGTAAAAAAAATATGGCTTATCTATAGTTTGTTCCTATAATCTTCATATTGTGTGAATCATACACGATATCTATGTACGTTGATTTAAACAGGATAAAAAAAAGTTATTTTAAAGAGCTCAAACAAACGTGATGTTGTCTAGCTACAAAATCAAATAACAATGAGCTCGCTTTACAATTGAATTTCACAACTACTACTTCTCTGTAAGTAACATGACTTATTGTGTTCTTTCTTTGCACTTTTCATCTACCTTCATAATACTCCACGGAATAAAAAAGAAGAGAGCAACGGGACAGAGTTGGATATCGAAAATTTCAGAGTGGACCATCTGCCGCGATATTATCTTATCGGCGAAAATTTCGTAATACTTTCTGAAACGATAGCGAACGATAAGAGGCAAATAGCCAATATAGCACACAAAGCTTCACGGCGTTTGGTAATCTCTTAAAGACGGTAATTGCAGCTCATTGGATCAAGAATAACGGCATTACGGAATAATTGTCAAACCTCATGCGATCGGGGCTTACGTGACCGCGAGGAAGCTTCTTGCATAACGCGGCTTTTCCGTCATTTCACGATGACATAACTCTCTCGTTTAACGAGCATATCGGTGCACGGATACTGTTTCACTCGTTGGTTAGAACGAGCTCCCGTGGACTTGGATTCAGTTGAAATTACGACGTGACATTTCTTTGAGAAACGAGGGAAAACGTATTTCTCTGAGTCGATGGCAACGCGAATTTTCATTGCAACGCAAACGTCTGCAGATTCGCGGACAATCATCGATCGAGAAGGAATGAAACTCGTTCGTCGAAGCAAGTCCGAATGTTTATCAAGTGTGCTTCGATTTAGCTAATCTGTATTCGACGTATGTCGATATTCAAAACACTCGAAGTATTATAAACTTTAAAAATGAAGAAATGATTGTGAATTATGTATCTGTCGATAGTCTAGATCTAGTATGACTGCACTATTCAATTCTCCAAATTTCTTGATAAACTTACAATTAGTATTTTGTACACATATGTTTCATTAACTTCAAACGCAATTCTTTTTTTGTAGAATGATCTCAAAAATAAATATGAATAATCTATGTATAATACGAGGGACATCATACTTAATTTCACTACTATAAGTAATGAAGCTTAGAATTCTAAACACGTGTTTCGTTAACTGTAAATGACTAAACGTATTACGAAATGAAATTTCTAATAGAAAATTAACATTGATTTTCATATCGAGCACAGAACAGTTAAATAAAGAAACAAATGATGCACGTATGATTATGGGAAAAGAAAGTTAAAGTTCAATTTTACTGAGAGGAGAATTCTCAATGTCCTACGCTTAAAATCGTATCTCACACAAAATAGTTCCAACAAACAAGGAAATGATGTGTCCACGAATAAAACTTGGTTAAGCTCGATCGTATCTTTCGGATTTTCCCGGGTATCGAACTGGGGGATGAAAAGATGAGAGGGCGCCGCTCTGGCAAAGGGGTCGATACGACCTGCGCGTTTACTCTCCATCGACGACTCTGTTGGAATGGACCCGTGCTGATTCCTGCAGCTGCAAAACGTATTACGCAGAGAAGTCCCTGTGTTGTCTATGTCGAAACGACACGATGACCAGACGAAGAATAAATAAATTCGCGAGCGAGATAGAGAGATGCAGAGGCTCGATCGTGATGTGACGTGTGAGATTTGTGTGATTTGTTTTTGTTACCGGTGTTCTTCGCGATTTTGACAATTGAAGTCGAACAGAGCAGTGCAAAAGGAGTGAGAAATACACGAAATGGGGACTAGATTCGCAGCGTGTGAGTACGAGAAAAAATAATAACAACCTTTTATGTATTTGTTACCAGCGAATTTATATATTCTGAGAATATAATTTGCTTTCTATATCAAATATCACGGAAACTTATGGTTTTGGATATATTATATATTTTTCTTCATATTATATGCATGTTTTTAATTCAAAAACTTTTTACTTCAAAATTTTCCGGAAAATTTATAAAAATTCGCAGTCTATTTATTACGATTCACGTCAAGTTTTATTAGAACATAATTTTATTAAAACAGATAGCTTAGAAGAGAACTCTATACGCGTGTTTCGTTAACCTTTAACTGGTATCGTTGAATTATATTGGTAGCAATAACAATTTACATTTCTCATTCACTCAGTTTTGAAATGTCCAATTTCAATTTTATTACTAGTACCCATCAGAAGAAATGTAAAATACAAAGTAAAATTTTAATGATCTAACATAAATCATTATAATCCAATGATACTATTTCACATTTAATATATTAATTGCAAATGACTGTTATACCAAGTACAAATATTTTTTCAGACTCGTTAAAACTGACTAGTCTCCACGATTACTATCAGAGACTTCTCCATGGAAGTCAACCTGTACCTTCCGGCCTTGACATGGCAAACACACTCAAGTTCTTCTCTCAAATGTTGCTGTGTAAATATCTCAGTACCATTTCATCCATACTTTGTGCTTGGAATTATTATTAATTTATACCTGATTTCGTAGCTCTGTTGAAAGAGGTTCACGAATCGCCTCTCGAAATGGTAAAATCTGAGAAGTACGACGCGGAACGCATGGCACTTTACCCGAATTTGGATTACAAACAGCTGTACAACGCCCTCACTCAGCTGATCGACGTCGTTTCCTCCATTCACATCGGTCTACAAGGTTTGTTCTATTATTTTTATGTCAACAGTTACATCGAGCACAATTTCAAAATGCAAGAAATAAATCATTTATCAAAAACTGCCGTTATATAAATTTGATTGCACGATATTCTAGTATTTCAATCTACTTTCTATTTTTCATTTATACACGCAAACGTTGTTCGCAACTGAACGAATTCGTGTTTCATTGATTTATATTCCAGCGTTTGGCCAAGCATTGCTACAGTGTCTCGCGTGTCTGTTGCCTTTTCTCGATCACGATTTGATCGACAACGTGGCCTACCTCACGGCCAGTTCAATTTCGGTGCTGCCGATGGAACTTCATCAAGATATCGTCAACTATCTCTGTTTCTACATTCTGCCATTCACCATCAGTAAGCTCGTCGTTACAGTATTTTAGCACATGATGGATAAAAAACATACACGTCGATAATATTAAATACAAATGCAGTAGACATTGTGACATTTCGCCGGTATTATTGCAGTAGTTTATAAATATTGTAGTACGTATTTTACGAGCAGTCGAAGAAGAAAACAAATAATTACGTTTCCTGATGACAACGTGTTGATTAAAATTCGTATGAAATGTGTGTTCAGCAAGGAAAACCGAGGATGGAACGGAAAACGCAGCCAGCCAATCGATAGCAGCTGTTATCATGATGATCTTCCAATACTCCAGTAACCCAGGTTATAAAAACGTATTTTTATTATTTTGTAGTTATTAATTCTATAATTATAAGATAACAAGGAAATATAGTGTCAACAATATATAATAATAAATTTACTAATAATAATAATCATATTAAAATCAATAATATTTAATATTATTTATTATAGTAAATTATATATATATATTATTTTATTATATTTATAGTATCAATACCGTATCAATTTTATTATTTTACAATAATATCAACGCCAATAAAAATTGTCAAAACAATGTCTAAACGTTCAGCACACCATTGTCAACTATTGGAGTGTCTAATGGCACTGAAACCAGGCGTTGTGAAGGACATTCTCTGCGTGGTTGCATATGGCACAGCTCCCGCAAGAGCTTCAGCAGCGAAATTGTTATTCTACTACTGGCCATCGTTCAATCCGAACCTCTTCGATCGCAGATCGGTTTTAGTCAAATTCGCAAGTACGTCTTTCGACACTATCTAGCGTACCAACAGCCTCATATACGAATAAAAAAAAAAAATCAAAGATAACGGATTTAATTGATTAACAGATGATCTGGCACCGTTCGTTTGTCAAAGAGATTCCTGTCCGAACGCAGGCAACGCCGAAGCTGGCAAAGTGTGTTACGATCATCGAATATCCATCACGTTTGCTACCGAGACACCGCCACCCATGTATCTTTGCATCGAATGCGCGAACGAGATACACAGGGCGCATCCGAATCAAATGTTCTACGATATCTTGCACCCCATGCAACAGGTGTCGATGATATGCGAAAACAAGGTGAGTATCGAGAAGAATCTTTACGCGATCAATTTGGGACAAATGTTGAACTGCTGGATGCTGAAGATTTTTTATTGGTGTATTCAATATTATTGTTGATATAAAATAATATTTTCTGTACATATCGATAATTAAAATCTCAGAGGATAATTAACATGTAATTTTGTGTCCATGTGTCTGAAAATATTTATTGCATTCATATTTCATCGATACGCGATTAGAAAAATATCATGTGATTCACGTGAACTAAACGAAATTGCAATTATATATAAAGTTGAAATTGAAAGTATATCACATGACTCGGTTTGTTGTAATGAATGCAGAATCCGAGATGCCATAAATAATTTATCTGGTATTTTTTTTATATTCACAAAACAGTGAATATAATAATACAGTAATTTCCAAATAATACGACGCCTATAGAGAATAAAAAAGAAATACCCTCTATCTTTTAATGTCATAGATCATCTTGTAACAACTTCAGTTTATATGATAGATTATTAATTTTAATTGTCAGTAGCTCACTTTCATTCACTGGCGATGCACCCAACAACTACAAATTTAACGTTTGTTAAATCACCTCAGAATTGCAAGGCCACTGACAAGTCAGCGATCAGTGTCTGTTTCTCCACCGAGTGCGCCAGTTACAACGGAAACCATCCGATTCGCTATTGCCAGAAGTGCCATAACAATCGACACGACAAAGGTCGAGGCGAAGACCATGTGTATCACACAGCATTACCACACATATCGAAGATGGATCCACAGACGCAGACCTACATGGTCCAGGCGATCGTCAGGTGAGATGCTCTCACTTCCAAATTCTCGTTCCCTATCTGCTGAGATATCCTGTATCGCTTAACGTTCGAAAGATATCGGGACAGGGATTGGGACTATGGTTGGGACACTAACAATCGTTGTAATCTGCACGAGTTTAATGGGACGCTGTCGCGACTAGGGAGAAGAGACTCGGTTCGAGTAAATCACTGACTTGTTGAACTTCCAAATTCGAACATTCTCGATATACGACAGTTTCAACTGGTATTGCTCGAATTATCAAGAATCTGTATTAATTGGTAACAAATTTGGAAATTTTGTTGATTAATCGGTGGAATTCTTGGAGAGAATGATTTTTCGTAATGTTATATAGCGGATATTCAGAGAAATATTCAAATATTTGAAAGTTATTTTGAAATTTCATTTCGGAATCGAAAAATGTATGTAAATTTATCCTAAGCATATACTATAACTATATTATATTACATTGTCCTAAGCATAAGTGTTAAACAGTTCTACTGTCAAGTTATATATAAATTAATTTCGTCGAATCGTGGAAAATGTCAAATATACTAAATTTTATAATAATTTCATAAATTTCTACAATCACCTATAAACGATACCATTTGAGAATTGATTGGAGGTAAATAAGCTTGAAACTCGAAAACTCATTGCCATTCGATTTTTTATAATTTTCATTCAAATGTCAGAGTCTCTTGTCTCTAACGTATCGTCGAAGTCCTTTCTGCGACAGAAAGTGTTCTTTTGATGACGTGAACGTATGAGACGCACGTTGATACAGTTCGATTGGTTCTATTCGTGTTTACCAACCCACAGATCGCGACCATCGTCGTACTCTAATGCGCAATACGTGACTCAAGTTTTCTTTGAAAAGAGAAAAGAAAAAGGAATAAATAAATTCACTATTGCAATCCTTAAATTGGTATCGTTGAGTCACAAACGACCATAATAATTTACATTACATTACTACACAGCAACAAAGCTCGTGACATAAAATCAAATTAACGACAATCCCACGATCGAGTGATCTAATGTTAAATTGTTACCAGTCTCCAGTGGCTCAACGATACCAGTGTTTGGGGTTGAAAGATAAAGAGTTCATTTCGCTGTTTCGTTGTCGCTGAATAAAGAAGTGAAAGTAACAGTAAATGGCTAAAAAAAAAAAAAAAAAAAAAAAATTGAGTAAATTAACGAGATAGTTAATGACTTATTTAACGACAACAGGTCGCATCCGAGCGATGGTTGTTAATCACTATCCACGATGTTCAATCATCGTAATGTGTTCGACAGTATTGTAACAACACGATGACGCGTACTAACGAATGATCGCAGGATCATTGTTGCTTTGCGTGTTTGTTCGTGCTGGTCCATCCTGCTTGGTAAGACATTATTGCTGTAACCACGTTCAATGGGAATTGAACTGAAATCTGTATTCTTGCTCCAACAGAAGCAGAATGTGTAGATTCTCTTTTCAGATGAATTATTCATGCATTCGATCGCAGTGACTCCCGTTGAACGTGGTTGATCGATGCTCCATATTATTGTTTTTGAATATTCACAGAAACGGACGAGATGTCGCATGTCACCCTGTTCCAATCGGGACCGTAATTTCCGCCTTCTTTTTTTTTTTTTCAATTGTTACATTCAATAATATGTTCCGCGTACATCTCGATCCGTCATCGACGCTCGAGCCTCACCGACTTCGAAAGTCTCTCTGTGTATTTATCGAGGATCGATATTTCTATATAACTTAGCAAGGAAATTCAACTTTGAAAATTTCTATAAAGAATTCTAAAAACAAAAAGGAAAAAGAAAAAAAAATGAATCAGGATTTCGGTGTAATCTTATCATAGCGTATCGTGTTTATACACATTTGATTGTGAGTAACGATCATGATATGTGTCAAGGTGTCTAATCTCTCTCGATATATAATAAAGAAAATTTCCACTAAATTGTCTAGAGAAGAGTCACGTACGGTATTGACCAATATTTGTGTCTTTTGCTAATTACAAAATCATAATTAATTCATTGACACACGAAATTTATAGATACACTTTGCCTTTGTGAATATTTAATATTTAAATATAATAGAGTATTTAATATTTCTTAAATATTGTTGCAATAAAAGTTACCTAGTTTGTTTAAAATCTTTTGACCGATAATATTCATTCTATTATAAGATGATTTACTTACAAGAATAACATATTACAAATTATACGCTCGTTCGGTACTAAACTTCTAGATTTTTAGTTATTTCAACGAATGAGGGTCGATCATTCTGAACCATTTACACCATTACAAGTTCAAAAGTCAACGTGTTGGAAAACCGAGCAATAATTTCTCATAGAATTACGAGTGCCTAAATTTTCTTCAAATTTTATAAAATTACAAAAGAATCACAGCCTCTTGTTTTTATACTATCGACAATAACATTAATAA